GGATCCGTGTGCATGACTGGCAGTGCATTTGTTGGACCAGATCTAAGGAGCCAGAGAGCGTTCAGCTCCTTTTTGCCTACAAAAGAGCAGCCAGACAACCAGCAAGAGGCCTTGGATGTAGCACAAGGTGATACTTACTTAGTCAGCCATTCTTTTTTTTCAAATATTTTTTTTTCCATTCAGTAAACTAAGAGTTTTTCAATTTCACAATGACACAAGGAATTAAATTATCAGTGGATTGTTTTTCTACAGCCACCATTCTTCACAGAGAAATACTGTACCAACTGAATTGTATTTTTTCCAGAACAACATAAAATTATTTTTAAAATTAAAAAATAAAAACAGAATAAATTGTTGGCTATTTCTTTAAAAATGCCTCCTTGGTTTAAGGAGATGTTTTCCATTTTACAGCCACACCATCCCACTTTATTGTGAATTTTTGGAGCTTTTTTCTTAAGGGGGACAGCTTTGTTAAGATATTGTTTGTGATTTTTCCAGTTTTGACTTTGAGCTACTTCTGTGTTCATTCTGTCTTGTCTCATCAGTGTATCGGTGCCATAGCTCCTAAGCCAATAGCTACTCAAGCAGTTTGATACTTTTTGTGATGTGAATTCATGAAAAAATATTTTCAAGTTACATGGAGTTTATGAATAGTGAGGTAGCTGATGTAGAGACCAGGCAGAAGGCAGAAAATACCCAAGATGTTTATGTCTGTCTTTGCTTACCACCTCCTACAAGCTGAACAGCCACAGAAATCCAAAGCCACTTTTGTTTATGCCGAATGTTCCTTGCTTAGCAATCCATGTTTTGCTCACTACCTGTATATTTTCAGCTGTTCTGAAACAGTGGTAGAGACCAAACATAAATGTGATCCCTAGGGTGATCAAAGATTTAATCTGACCAGATGGGACAAACTTGAGAAAGATTTTGACTTTCCACTCTGTTTTGCAACAAGAAAGGCTGATTTTTTTTTCTCCCGTCCTTTCTTTGTTAGCAAAGGCAGAGATCAGGCCATCCCCAGAGGAATGAGCAGGTGTGGCCATTTACAAGCATGTCTGGTTATATTATAAACCAACATAAGAAAAGTTTGAAATGGTTTGAAAAGATCTGCTAAACAGTTTTAATGTTTCATCCCAAATCCTATTTACTCAAACAAGAGCCGATCAAGGTCACAGTATAACCCAGCCTGCTCAAACCTTTAAAGCTCATGTAATTTTATTTATTTTCTTTATTTTTTTTTTATTCTTTCTCCTCTTCTAACTGAATAGGTACATTTTGGTAATCCTGAATAGGTACATTTTGGTAATCCTTGCCTCTGGACAAGCACAGAAGTCTTTTTCTTTCTGAATGGCTAATAACAGAGCCGTTCTTCCTGTCTAATGATGAAAGAGGTGGCAGTCAAGTTCTTTCTCTTAGATGTACTGTGCTCTCACGGCTGACCACGAACCATTTTGAAACCTACAGTTTCAGGAATTGCTCCCTCTCATACAACTCTGGTTTGATTTTTTTGCCGTGGATTACAAGCAATTTACTACATTTTTTTAAAAATTTTACTTTTGTCCCCCAGTGTATGGACACAGTAAAGAATTTACTTTTTAAATGTCAAATAAATGCAGGTCACCAGACTGTATTTTTTTTTATAGTGAGAGGTTGATACATTATCAGAATTCTGGTGTAAAGTCAGTTTGCATCCTCCCAAAATTCTACCAAAGGAGGACTGAAAATCCCTAGTAAAGGTTTTGTGGGTTTTTTTCTTTTTGCTGTGAGAAGGTTGCAAAATTTTTAGTCATTTAAGGAGATGGTTTTTGAGGGAGTGTTTGGGGGTTTTTTGCCCTGAAAGACTCCACCACTCTCAATATTTTCCTGAGTTGGGCAGCTCTCAGCTGGCTGGGTAATGATCTCGGAAACTGCCTTGCCAGCGTTTCACATTCGAATTCACCTTCCCAAATCCACGGCGTAATTTTTGGCCAAAGTAATGTCAGTCACTGCCGTCTGCGGCAAGTACAAACAGGACCCCCTAATGGCAGCCATTTTTATTTGTTTCTTAAGATCCAAAGGCTGCTGAAAGAACAATTGGATAAAGTTGAGGATTGGAGAAGCTTGATTTTCTTGTTCCAGTGAAATGAAACTCCCGTCCTTTTTTTTTCTTCCCCTTTCCCTTAAAAGCCGGAGTCAGCTAGGGGGTTGTAGCTGTGTCAAAGCCGTTGGGATGCCACTGCTGATCACTTTAATTACTAGGACTAAGGAGGATAAAATTAAAAGTAGCACCATTGAAGCAGTGGAAGAAAGCTTGCCGAGATGTCAGTGAACTGTGAAATATAAAAATTGCATACCAATACATTTTTATAGGAGGGAAACAAGGAATTACATTACTTATTCTTGAAGAGTTTGTCCTTAAATAGTGAAGTTTTCCTCACTGTGCATCTGCATGGCAGATCTTTAAACCATTACAAAATAGTTGGGGGGAAATAACAAAGCAAACTGTAATGTCTCTGGCATATCAGAGGGTGGAAGATTTTTCTGAGTTTTCTTTTCAATTGTACAGGGAAAAATAAGTCACCTTATGTGTGTTTGCTTGGTCCTTCCTTGGTGCAGTGCTTCTTTTCATATCTCCTGGGTTGTTTTTTAAAATATTTTTGTTTGTGCCTCTGTACCTCTCTCAAGTCCTTTTCTTTTCGAATTCTAGCTTGATATGCTGTTTAACTATTTTTCTGTACCTCAAAACTTACTCTGTCTGCTTTTTCTGCTCTCAGTTTCACTGCCCCTTCTTACCAGTGTTTCTTCTGCCAAGCTCAGTAACGGAGGGTTCAAATACCTGAATTGAATTTAAGCAAGAACTAGGCTGGTTTTTCCCTTATCCGCTGGTGATGATTGGCTTAATCAGCACAAACACAAGCCACCATAATCTGTGTTTGCTTGGAGATCCCCGGGATGTTAATGACTATGCTAATAATTCAGGATGCAAGTTCTCTTTCAGGAGGAGGGGAGGAAAGGAGAAATCAGCCAGCTCAGTTTAGGGCATTTTTGTCACAAACATGGAACTGGCCCTATTTTAAATAACATGTGCTGAAGTAAATTAAATTGTTTGACATTAAACCATGTGGGAATCTTAGTTTTGTACATTCATTCTTAGAAGTCATTTAAGTTCCTATATCCAAGGAATTAGGAATATTAGAGATTTGAGCAGTTTTATTTCAAGTAAAATTCAATGTAATTAATGTTACCAAATACTGTGGGTCGAAATAAAACTGTTTGCTGTGTCAGTTGGCTGGCTAGAAATTAAATTAAATTGATCTATTATAGTGCATGGGGGCGGGGGGGAAGCTTTCCAGTTGTCTTTCTAATGTGTACTTTACCAAATAAATTTTTGATAGAACTGTTGCTCTGTGCCTTCTGGGAAGTTAAAGGGTGAGAAAGCAAACAAAGCCCATGTGCCGTCCCGCTGCCTCGCAGGGCCCAGGCAGAATTGTCTTTCCAGGGGAGGACATTAGGAGAAAAGTAAATCAACGCAATCTGATAGGGAATCGGGACTCTGTCACTCAGAGGCGAGATGTTGTGCTGTGTCCATATACTTTGTTTACTGTAGGGTTTTATGAGTTGTAACCTGCCCATGCAAGCTGTTAATGAGGCTAAATCTTTCTGCTGGAGGATTGAATTACAGCACACCTCTGGGCTAATGGTTATAAACAGAAAGTCCCATTAGGGCTGCATTCTGATTCAGTCATTTGCATTTTTTCTATTGTGCCGAGAACAATGCTGAGTAAATAGCTACAAACAAACAATTTACATGGAAATGGATAAAATGTACCTAATTAGTATTTTGCACTTGTTTTATTAATGATTGCTTAAACTAAGTAGCACTTAGCAACAGCTCTCACCAGCCTCTGCAGGTGTGGGATGCTCAAGTTTCTTTCTGGGTTGGTGGGAAGGTTGCCAGAATGGCTCTCCAAAATTAGGCAGTTTGTTATATTCCACTTAGTTCAGGTCAACAGCCTGTACCTGGGATTTATCCAGGTCATTATGTCAATAATACATAAACTTTTTGGTAGGTTAGATTTAAACCAAGCACTGACTTCTTTGCACTTTTTGAGCATTTCTGATATTGAGGGGAAGAACAATCCTAACTTAGCAAAAATCCCATGCTTATGATGAAAACTGAAATAGTTTCTCTTATGGAGATGGTGAGTCTTATAGATATGTTTAAACAGATCTTTTTCTGAAAATTTTTTCTCATGGTTGGTTAGTCTTTTACAAAATTTCATGCTGCAGAACTTTGCTTATTTATGTAACTGAAATATTATCATGATTCTAATTTATGAGCTTTAGTGAGACAGCACTATCTGGCATGGTTCCTGTATGATTCCTTTAATTATTGACCAAAACCTCACTAGTAGGATGTTTTAAAGGGATGCAAAGTCTTTTCTGCTGAGTGCATCTATTGTTTTTGCAGTCATTTTCATTCGGTTTTTGGGGTTTTTAAAAGAGAAATATCCATTGAAGTCAAAGAACATGCCTCAGATTTGGTGCCACTTTATACTTTGAAGTCAACTTGGTGCTTGGAGGAAGCAAGAGCAGTATTTGGCTTCTCAGTTCAGTTCTGTGACAGAATACTGCTCAAATGAGTAATTCAATTTAGTAAAACCATTTTATAACCACAGTAAATCTTTGCTCAAATCACTCATTGGGTGTGATTACTTTGAGACTGAAATGTCTGCAAATTTTCATCAAGGTTTTTTTATAGAACATAATTTATAAGTGCTTTACATTGCAAATCATCAGGTTTCTAATGCAGTAATAATTTGGGGAATGCTTTAAAAAAATAATCTGACGCATGGATGTCTTTAAAAATTGTGGTGTGACACCCAACTGATATCGAGCGTCCTATTTATAATGTGGGCCAAGCACCATGCTGTAAACCAGTTCCTATCATGATGATCAGATTGAGAATGAAATTGCATTTCTGTCAATTACTGAGTTGGCAACTGTTCAATATATCTTAGCAGCAAGATGAAGAGCGGCGTCGGCAGCTGAGAGAGAGAGCTCGTCAGCTAATAGCAGAAGCTCGATCTGGAGTGAAGATGTCAGAACTTCCCAGCTACACTGAAATGGCTGCAGAAAAGTTGAAAGAAAGGTCAAAGGCATCTGGAGGTGAGCTGAGGAACCTTGTATCTTATTCCTATGGTAACCTAGAAACCAGAGACCTTTTTGGGTGTCACTTTTATTCACACTTCAAAACGCTGCTGTTCATCAGGTGAATGTCTCAAAAGACCTGGCCGTAGATGTGTTTCCTAAATCCACGTTGTGCCACCTGATTTCCAACAATTAAAAGAAGAGCATACATGTGATTGAAAGAAAAATATGTTGTGTGAACGAGTAGCTCATGTTGGCCCATTATGTACAGATTTCTTGTTACTGACAGTTTCTTAGAATTTCGTGGTTCTTGGTTCTCTTCAATATATATTTTTATATAGGAATATGGACATAGTTTTGGGGAAAAACAGCATTTGAAATACTTAAGAAATGTTGTTTTGTATTAAATGTGTTCAAAAGAAGAGAATTTTAAAGGTGGTCTGTGAGAGGTAGGGGCAACAACCTTTTGACTTTAAATGGCAGTCTTTTGACGGACCACTTGCTTTTACAGGTTTTGAGTTGTAATATTGCTATAATGTTATTAAGCTGACTTTGAAATACCATTAAAATTCATGTACCTGCCATTGCTATGAGCTGGAGTAATGTAGTGTCACTCAAACTCAAATGGCTGCTGAGCACACGTTTCAGTACAGGCTTCTTGCTCTTTTAATGTCTTCTACATATTCTAAGAGAAATAGTGTTTCTCAAACTAACTCATAATCATAAGCCAAAGTGTAAGGAAAATCCAGCTTGATGCTGACAATGCATGTAGATTAAACAAAAATATTTATTTCTTCTCTACTACATGTATTTTGTATGCCTCAATATTTAAATACAGTCTTACTGCACCCTAAGCCCTACACTTCTGTTCCATTTAACACCAAAGAGGAAGCAGTGAGTTTTGCATCTCCCTTGGAATCTGGTCTTCAGTTTTGCTCTTTTTGCCCAGTAAACCAAGCTTGCCAACATAACTCTCTTTTGTGGCAAGGAGAGAAATTATATCCTTGATGACAGTAAGACAGGCTGAGCCAAATGACACAGGACTTGGGTATTACCTAGGCCAGGGTGTTCCTCATCCCTCTTCACAGGTCATGATTCCCCATCCTACATTATTTCATTACTTCCTTCTCCCTGTGTCATCATGCCTGTGCCTAGCTATTCCTGCCATACCTTCTCTCAAACTAAGGTCTTTGTCTGGTTCCATCCTGGGTGCTCAGCTGGATAACAGTGACCCTCTTTTGTTGCAGTGACTCAATTATAGAGTTGCTAAATATCCTAGTGTGCTGCTTTCTGGGATGTGGTCATCCTCTTCATATTTTCCTCTGTATTTTACCATTTCTCTTCCTGCCCTTCATGCAGTTTGTAAGCAGTCAGAGAGGTAGCTGTGCATGTATTTGTAGGGGGAGATTGCATATGCACCCAGAGAGTTTAGTGTTACTGAAAGAGCAGACAATATCAGCATTGATGACAACTCATTTATAAAGCAAACACCACTCTACCTATTGGGTTTTATCCAGCTTTCTACTTTTGCATTGATTTATACTTCCTACTTGGATTTTTTTCAATCATGCAATAGTTTGGCCAATCTTTTTGAACTTCTCTTGGACCTAAAGTTTTATTCCCTGTCTTGTTTTATCCCTCTTTGCTCTTTTCATGTCAGTGTGCATTTTATAGCATTTTCTTCTGCTTCCTCCTTCTCAGAGTTTTCCTTATGGCACATCTTTCACATAATTCTACCACACCACTCGTATTTTAAGATGCTATACCAAATCTCCCCTAAAGAAATTCATTTTTCTAAAATGCAGTAGTTCTGTGAAATGGCACCAACACTTTACAGAACAAATGAATTGGAATTACTTCTGGGTTTAGTCTTTTTGGGTTTTCAATTTTCACCAAAAATGAGGATTTAATAGACAGTCACCTTATTACTACTGGACTTTGAATGTTTCCCCTAACTGCATTCACATTTTTTATTGTGTAGAGTCCTGTATTCCCTACACAATACCTAAGACAAGCTTATTGTCTTGTGTTTCCTGAGCTCTCTTGTCCCTTATACATCATTAATCTCTTCTTCTGCATTGATTGCAATTACTTTTTGATTTACAAAAAGGGAATGTACCAAATAATTTTACTCTCAATTCAGTTATTTCACAAAAAAGTGACATTTCAGCTCTGAGATTCTGGAGTCTTTAAAGACTTCTTCCTTACAACTGTAGGTAAAAGCGTGATCTCTTCCATTGTTTCTATGTGCTCATTAAGAATTTCACGCTTTGGCACTGGTGAAATATTCTTTGTTAAAAGGCTTTATTTAGCCAAGGTCTGAGAAACTCAAATGACTATGGCAAGTTGAAACTTTCCTGGATAAGCAGTATCCCTAGCTATGAAATCCAGTCTTTTTCATAGGTTATTTGGCATGTGAGACAGAAAATACTTCTTCTTGCCAACTGCCAGAGGGTTTGGGATGGCAGCTTCAAATTTATTAGATGTCCTATTAGCTTCGGGCTGATAAGCGGATGCCTTGAGATGGATCCAGGGACAGTATCGAGATAGAGATCCAAATATCCCCCCTTTTCCTAGCAGCACTGGGACAACAGAATTGACATATTATCTAGGAATTGTCCCTGAGCAGTGGAACACTCGTCTGCTCTTCTGGGATTTGGTGGTGTGTTTTCTTTACTCTCTGGCACATCTCCATCCTTTGTTTGAGCTGGCGTCGGTGTGAGGAAGTGGCTCGGACCTGGGGGTGGTGAGGACAGGGCATGTTCAAGATCTCACTTCTAAGGCAGTGATCTTCAGGGAGTGTATGTGGTGGCACAGCCTTACTCATCATGCTTAGTCTCCAGCTCATGCAACGAGTGTTAGGTCCTTAATATTTTTAGCAGGCAGTGTTTCTATCTGTCAACAGTTACTGCTGTATTTTCTTGTCCTGACATCAGATTTCTTGTACACAGAACCAGTATTTCAACTCTGCATTTCTTCCATTCCCTGCCTTTATTACTGTGCACAGGCTTCTGTCACATCCTGTAGCCTTAAAGAGAACTCTGTACCTGGAAGTAAATAAACTAAATATCTCAACATCCACAAGCCTGAGGGATTTCCCACAGACAATGCTGAAGGCTGGAGATACCTTCCCTGAAAAGGAAGTGCTGTTTGTGTAGTTTCTCCCAGTAATGTGATCCAGCCCCCATTAATGCTTTTGCTTCACTATGAAAATTACTCATTTTTCATTTAATCTAGAAATTGGTGCAGTCAGCTGCAAATCCTTCACGTGTGGACAAGCTTAAACCAAGCCAAGAGAATATCAGTTTAACCAAAAATTAGGCCTGACCCTACTCTGCGTAGTAAGACATAAGAGCTATAAAATGTCTCTGGGTCCCTTTCCACCAATATTCTGGCATTTCCACATGGTTCCAAAAGATACTTATTTCCCTCCTCCAGTCCAGACTGCAATCCATGCTGTGCAGGAGATGGTCAGTGCTTTTAAGTTGTTGACTCAATCCTTTATCTTTTATTTTGTTCATTCCTTCATGACATAGTAAAGCTGTACTCTTTTTCTGGGATTCAAATTTACATACTTTCCAGGGAAACAGTTCTTCAGTCCTTCAGTCGTTTTCTAAATATCTGCCCTGATTCTAGACCAAGTGCTTTAAGTTTTTCACACTAGCAATTTGTTCTTTTCATCAAAGATATCTGTTATCTCTTCGTCATGTTGTTCCTTTTATAATTTATAATTGCAAAATCTTGTTGTAACATGCTGCCTAAACACATTTCCCTTTTAATACACTGGAAGAACATTGAACTGGAAAAAAACCCTAGAGTAATTTAAATCAAGGAATCTAGATTTTTAAAGATACTTGAAAAATTCTGAAATTACTTCAAATTACTGCTCTTAATTGATTTTTTTGAAAATAAAGTGTAAATGTCCTGATAATCATATTCAGTCAAAGTCTGCCAACTTTAAATTAAATACTAGGTCAGGTCATTATCTGATACCAGAAACTGGTGTCTTCCACATTGCCATCTCTTTTGTTTCCTAAAATGGTGGTGTCAAAGGCAGTGCCTCTGATCTCATCTTGCTATATTAAATTAAAGAAAATCAAATAATCTAATATAAGCATTCCCTTAGTATGCAGGAGTCTTAAACCCTGTCATCTTATTTAGATTGTTTTGACACATCTGGCATAGAGTGGGGTGGCTGGTAGCTGTGAGCTGACCTTGTGAGCCGACTCCTTTGGGTGATTCCAAAAGTCATTGCCTGCTTCTAGGCCCCAGGTGGATTTGGTTTCCCATTACAGTCTCTTTTTCTTCCCTTCTGCCTCTTCCACAGTAGCCCAGTCATGCTTTCAGTGTGCCCCTGTGAACTCCAGGATGTGTCTGAGAGTACCTTGGCCTGAGTGCCACTGAATTTCTCCAACACCATCATGAAGGATTTATAGTGGTGTGCAAAGTCCAGCTTCTCATCAGAAACAGTAGAGCAGCTTTGAAGGAAATTCAAAACCATCAAAATTGCTGCTGTTGTTGCTTTACCATTCTCTGGTTTTTCTTCAGTTTGCTTTTTATCCCTTTACTTTTTGTCCTTTTTTCCACTTCCTGAAGATCATGCTGTGCTATTCTTCTTTGTTCACTTATCTCTGCCCTTCCTGAAAACAGCAGGAGTCCAGATCCCAGGATCACCTGTGTGAGTTTAAGTGGAAACAGAGGGGATGTCTCAGAGAGTTGGGAGTGTTTCTGCCCACCCCCTTCCACACCTGAAGCACAATCTGTCAGGTCACAGGTCTGGTCACAGATCTTGGCTTGGCTGCAAGGAGATGTTCTTCTCCATCACTCTGGCTCAGTCTGGGGCAGCTTGGAAGAAAGCTGAGTCTTCTAGAGCCCAGGGAAGTCATGGTGCTCAGCTGAAGCACAGGGGTCCTGCTTCACAGGCTGCTGCTCCATCACACCCACAACCAATGGTGGCTAAGTGGGACACTGGAGTGGGAACCTCTTTGCTCCTGTCTGTGGCAGCAAGAGCCTTACCCTGTATCAGCAGAGGTCTGTGAAAGGTGTTGATTAGTTACGGGGCAACTGAGGGAGCAGCTGGTTAGAAAAAAGTAGTAGACGTAGAAAAATCAACAGGCTCCTAAAATGGGAATTATAGGTGCTATAGAGATAAAGGGATAAAGGTGCAGTTGTATGACCTTCAGTGTGGGCCTAAAGTGCAAGCTTCAGGGCTGGGAATGAGGTTGAGTGTGTTTCCAAGCCATGAGTGATCAGCACCAATCCTGGTCCAAACCTCTGGGATTCAGAATTATGGCATCATGGTACTATATTTAGGATCCTTTTTGTTTATATGATGCTTGAATATAACCATGTCCTGTATTTATAATTTGTAATCTTTTTGTCCTGTCTTAGATATTTTAAAGTTCCTTTAGTTACTGTTTTGTTTCTTCAGTTGTACTTTAGCCTCCCCCTTTTTATCGTTTTTACACACATGCATGTACATAGGAAAAAAATGTTAGTGGAAGTCTGAACAAGTGTAGATACCATTTGATATGAGATCTAAAAGTGAGTAAATATAATGTATCTACTTACTTTGAAAGTACGAATCTAGCTTTTATGGACTTGAATTTCATTATATATTTGTATTGAAAATGTGAGTCAGGATTTTTTCTGGGATCTGCTTCACAGTTCAGAACTTGCTATTTGATCTTCTTCAGGTTACTTACTCTTTCTGTGCCATAATTTACCTACATCATCATCATAACTGTAATTATAATAATCACCTACTTCATAAAACATTATGGGGCTCATTTATGAGTTATATTCATAAGCTGCTCTGAGAAACTTGGTAGAAAGATTCCATAAAAATATAAGTACAATTATTATTTTATTTAAAATGTGTGTAGCTTACAAACAATGCTGATGAAAAATAGTGCAGTAAAGCACTTTTAACTTATTCATCAATGACTTGGATGAAGGAGCAGATGCCTGCTCAGCAAGTTCACTGGTGCAGGAAGCTGGGAGCAGTGGCTGATACCCCAGAGGGCTCTGAGCCCTTCAGAGGGACCTGGGCAGCCTGGAGAGATGGGCAGGGAAGAACCTCCTGGAACTGAACAGGGCAAGGGCAGGGTCCTGCAGCTGGGCAGGAGCAGCCCAGGCACCAGCACAGGCTGGGGTGCCCTGCT